AGTGTACGTGTGGTCATTGGTGGTGTAGGGCGGCGGTTGGGGGCGTGGCTTCGCCTCATCAGGGCACTGGCTGGTCTTCCTGTGTGGCATTTGCGGTGGGGGTGCTGTGTGTGTGGGGGGGTGCGTGCTGGGGCGTCTCCGGGCCTATGGTGCGGAGCTCTTGATGTGAGAGCCGGCCCTCCTCAGCTGCGGCTCCCTGCTGCTCTGCCCCTTGGGCTGGGGCCGGCCTGTGGTCGTTGTCAGGTAGATGGTGCATGCGGTCGGCCCTGAGTGTGCCTGTTAGTTGCTCAGGTTGGGTTTTTGGTGGTCCCCCCTCTCTTGGATCAATTTGGGCCCCACGTTTGGTGTGGGGCCCACTCCCCCCGGTCGTGCCCCCCTTTGGCGGGGGGCCCCCTTGCCGCCGGTGCATTGGTGGCTCTCGGCGTCTGGGCTGGGTGGTGGGGTGTACGTCGGTCCGCCCTGGTTGCTGCCTGGCGGGGCCTGGGTGCCCTGGCTCTGTCGGGGCTCTGCTGGGGGGGTGGTATGGCCTCGGGGCTTGGGGCTCGGTGTCCATGGCCGGATCTACTTGGGGGGGCATGGGTTGCCGGCCGGACCTGTGGGCTCGTCGCTGCAGCTTCCTGGAGGCTCTGCATTGTGGTGGCTGGGGTCACCCGGTTCTTTCCTCTGCTCCTCTCTGGGGGGGTGCGGTTCTCCCTGTTGGGAGACTCCTGGGGCTTCGGGCCTGTGGGCCGCTGTGTGTCTGTGGCTCTGGTCCTCCCTACGTTGCCATTGTGTCCTGGGGGGGTGGGTCTGTGGGCCCCCGCGTCCACTATTGGGCATTCTTTTGGAGAAATCTGGTGGTGGTGGGCGTGCTTGCGCAGGTGTTTGGATTCAGGTGCTTTGACAGATGCACGCTAGGTTAAGTAGTGGTGGAAGCTAGATGATTCCTTGTGCGATGTTGAATGTTTCATGGTGATATTGTGGGTGGCATTGTGCTGTGCATGTTGTTTTGTCGTGGTGGTCTCTCGTTTTATCTATTTCTCTTTTATTTATTTATTTATTTATTTTTCTTTCTTCTCATTCTTTAAAAAAAAAATAATAATAATTGAGCGATGATGATAAGTTCATTGAAACACTTCACAATGTTTCTACACTTAAACTGAGCTAAAAAAAAAAAGAAGTCTGACCTTGATTCAGAAATTCTGGCCAACTATAGACCTATATCTAATCTAACTTTCATCTCAAAAATTCTAGAGAAAATAGTTGCAGGTCAGTTGCGTGAACATCTACAAAGAAATAATCTGTTTGAAGAGTTTCAGTCAGGGTTTAGATCTTATCATAGCACACAAACATCACTAGTAAAAGTCACTAATGATATTCTCATGGCCTCAGACTATGGTTTTGTGTCTCTACTGGTCCTGTTAGACCTCAGTGCTGCATGTGATACAGTTGATCACAATATTTTACTACAGAGGCTTGAATATGATATTGGGATTACAGAAACAGCTCTAAAATTGTTTAAATAATATCTATCTGATATGTTCCAGTTTGTAAATGTAAATAATAAATCTTCTTCATACACCAAAGTTATTCATGGAGTTCCTCAGGGCTCAGTGCATGGGCTAATATTCTTTACTTTATATATGCTTCCATTAGGTAAAATTATTAAGTCAAGTCAAGTCAACTTTATCTATAGAGCACATTTAAAACAGAACCTGATATCAAAGTGCTTAACAACAACAACAATCAATGAGTAAAATTAAAGATATATATATATATATATATATATATATATATATACAATACACTAATAATAATAACTGAAGAATTAATAAAAAGCATTTAAAACATAGGGTCACAGATTAAAAAAACACTAGATCAATTTACACTGTGTGAAATGCCTGAGAGAACAGATGTGTTTTTAGCAGGGATTTGAAGTGAGGAAGGGAGGTGGCCTGCCTGATGTTGAGGGGCAGGTTGTTCCAGAGTTTGGGGCCCGTGACTGAAAAAGCCCGATCTCCTCTGAGCTTCAGTCTTGTTTTTGGAAGAGCCAAAAGCAGCTGATCAGATGATCTCAGGGCCCGAGGGGGAACGTAAGGTTCCAGAAGCTCAGAGAGGTAAAGGGGTGCGAGGCCATTTAGGTACTTGAAGGTCAACAGAAGAATTTTAAAGACTATCCTCGTACGGACAGGGAGCTAGTGAAGGGAGGACATAACTGGTGTAATATGTTCAGACCTACGAGTTCTGGTTAAAAGCCGAGCAGCAACATTCTGGACGAGCTGAAGACGTGAGATGGAGGCCTGGCTGATCCCAGCATAAAGTGCATTGCAATAGTCCAATCGGGTCGTGACAAAGGCGTGGACTAGTTTCTCAAGGTCGGGTCTGGACAACACTGGCTTGAGCGTAGCTACCTGTCTGAGTTGGAAGAAGCTTTTCTGCAAAACAGAATTGATTTGTTTGTCAAACTTGAAGTCAGAGTCTAAAACCATCCCGAGATTTTTCCCAGACTGCTTAAGATATGGCTGAAGAGAGTCCAGGTTGACAGGATCAGTGGTAGCAGTTGAGCTAGGGCTAAAGACAATGACTTCAGTCTTCTCATTGTTAAAACTTAAGAAATTTGAAGCCATCCAGGCCTTAATGTCGTCCAGATATTTTAACAGAGGGTGAATGGAGCAAACACTTGCTGATTTCACAGACAGGTAGATCTGGCAGTCATCAGCATAGCAATGGAATGAAAGACCGTTTCCTCAGGATGGACCCCAGTGGGAGCAAATAAAGTGAGAACAGAAGGGGTCCAAGATTCAAACCCTGTGGGACTCCGCAAGAAAGAGGTAATGAGGCGGATACATTATTACCAACCTTGACACAGAAGCTCCTGCCACTCAGGTATGAGCGAAACCATTCTAATGCAGCACCTGTGATCCCAATCCATTGTTACAGCCGTGATATAAGGATACTGTGGTCAACAGTATCAAAAGCAGCAGTAAGGTCCAGGAGCACAAGTACCACAAATTGACCAGAATCGTTTGATATCATATCGTTACAAACCCTTACTAATGCTTACTAAAATTATGCTAATTTTTTGGGACAGGCATTTTGGGTTTTCATGAGCTGTATGCCATAATCATCAGTATTAAAACAAATAAAGACCTGAAATATTTCAGTTGGTGTGCAATGAATCTGAAATATATGAAAGTTTAATTTTTATCATTACATTATGGAAAATAATTACCTTCATCACAATATGCTAATTTTTTGAGAAGGACCTGTATGAGGACAACAGGACAGTGGTGAGATGTGCTGTAGGAGTGACAAATAGCTTCAAGGTGGAGATGGGATTGTATCAAAGATCGGCTCTGAAACCCTTCTTGTTTGCTCTGGTGATGGACCGACTAACAGATGAGGTCAGGCAAGAATCCACATGGACTATGATGTTTGTAGATGACATTGTGATCTGTGGTGAGAACAGGGAACAGGTGGAAGAGAACTTGGAGAAGTGGAGGTATGCACTTGAAAGAAGAGGAATGAAAGTCAGCTGTAGTAAGACAGAGTCCATGTGTGTGAATGAGAGGGAGGAGGTGGAACAGTGAGGCTACAAGGAGTAGAGGTCACAAAGGTGTAGGACTTCAAGTACTTGGGGTCCACTGTCCAGGTGAATGAGAAATGTAATAAAGAAGTGAAAAAGAGAGTCCAAGCAGGATGGAGTGGATGGAGAAAAGTTTCAGGAGTGATTTGTGAAAAAAGGGTGTCAGCAAATGTCAAAGGAAAAGTTTAAAAGACAGTGGTGAGACCAGCTATATTGTATGGTCTGGAGACAGTGGCACTGACAAAAAGACAGGAGACAGAACTGGAAGTGGCAGAAATGAAGATGCTAAGGTTCTTCTTAAGAGTGACAAGGCTGGATAAGATTAGGAATGAGATCATCAGAGGTGCAGCCAAGGTTGAACAACTGGGAGATAAAGTTAGGGAGGCCAGACTGAGATGATTTGGACATGACAAGAGGAGGGACCATGGATATATTGGTAGAAGGATGTTAGAAATGCAGCTGCCAGGAAAAAGATAAAGAGGAAGGCCAAAGAGGAAATATATGGATGCAGTTAGAGAGGACATGAAGGTAGTTGGAGAGAGGAAAGAGGATGCAGTGGACAGAGTGAGGTGGAGGAGGATGACTCGCTGTGGCGACCCCTGAAGAGGGAAAAACTGAAAGAATTAGAAGAAGAAAGTTGTTTGGAGTCTGAGGATGATAGCAGCTGAGTCGTCTTCATCCACCAGATCACCTCCAGCTAAGAAGTCTGTAATGACTGAATGTGTTTACTTGGCATATTTTCACAATAAACATTTTGTAAGTCTTTATTTTGGCTTTTTTTTTTGTACAGAAAATTAACCGAACCAAGCCCTCCTTGAAACTGAACCAAACCGAAATGTGATTTTAGCGTACGTTACACCCCTAATACACATATTCAATTCAATTCAATTCAGTTTATTTATATAGCACCAAATCACAACAAATTTGTCTCAGGGCACTTTACAGGAACATTCACATACATAAAATCCAATTGGTAAATTTCTCTATCTAAGGAATCCAGCAGACAAGTTGAATCTGGGCTTTGTTGCAGTCTCCCATCCTGAGCAAGCACATATAAATATATATATACACATACACACACATACATATATATGGGGCGTGGTGTCACAGAGGCTAGAGTAGATGGGCCTGCGATCGGAAGATTGTCGGTTCAATTCCCCAGACCAACAGCATCAAAATGTGGGTGAGAAAGGTGAAACACCCACAGCTGTCTCCAGCCTCATTTGGCACACTCTGGGCCCTTGCCCAAGGCCATTAACCCCCACCATCTGCTCCCCCGAGTGCCCCAGATCAGTGGTCCCCAATCACTGGGCTGTGGTCCCATATCTATCCGTGGGTCAATTGGTACCGGGCCGCACAAACAGAATAAATAACTTGCATTATTTCAGTTTTATTTCTTGTCTGATTCTGAACATGTGTTAAAGGTTGATCTTACCTGCAATGAAATATGAGCCCTTGGGCGGAGCTTGGTGCCTGGTAACGCCACATAACCATCCTGACTCAGGAAGTGAACAGTGGAAACTTTGTCACATTTATTGCCATAGAAACCAGGTATGCAGCGGCAGATAGGCTCTCTGGCTACCATCAGGCACTGAGCACCATTCTGGCAATCTGAATGGTCGCATGGGCTGGTCTGCAGCAAGATCATTGGTGGAGGGTTCTCACAGAACAGCCCACTGAGTGTGGAGTAGATTAAACAGAAGTTACTCATGAAGCTTTAACAAGGTGTTTTGTTGTGCTAACATCTACAAATAAATTGTATCTAATATGACAACTGTATTACATATAGAATTTGAATTAGAAAAGTGATATTTTCAAAGGACATGAATGCATTTTATCAGGATACAATTCTAAGCATATTCTGTATGTCCTCACATTTTCTTCAGGATCTTAAAACAGGCTGAAAAAATTAACTGAATTTGTATTAGATACAAAATGTGTAACTTAGCATTTTTGTAGCAAAAACAATAGATAAAACACATAAAAATCTTAACAAAAAAAATGTACACAATTATTAAAAAACAAAATATCTGGCATTAGTAAAACTGAAATTTTCTTTAAAGTATATCAGTATAATTTGTTTCTTCATATCTCTGTGTCTGTTTCCAGCATTCATCTGACATTCACTCTTCCTTTTTCCATGTCCCTTGTGATTAATTTGTTTTGCTCGCACCAACAGTATCTGCTATAAATAACCACGTGGAGCTGCATCTGCCCCACTCATGCACACACACACACACACACACACGCACGCACGCACACGCACGCGCACGCACGCACGCACGCACACACACACACACAGAGTAGGTCGAGATAGTTAAGTGTCTGATAATGGAGTGCCATCTGCATTTTCCTCCAATCTGGCCCTGCAGAGCTTAACTATGTTTGTGTAAAAGTTGTTTCCATGGCTCTCACCTGAAACCCTCTTTGCAAACACAAGTATAGCCGTTGACAGCATCAACACACTCTGCCCCATGCTGACATTTATTCTCTAAACAGTCATTATAGTCCTGCTCACAATGTTGGCCCACATATCCTGGTAAACACTCGCACCTAAAAAAGACAGGGAAATATGGACTGAAATACAGTACAGCCTTTATGATTATATGTTTCCTAAAGAGGTGGAAGGTTTGTTCCTTTTGTGTGTCTAGTTTTCAAACAAGTAGGAAAATAAATTTAACAATTATACAATTTTATAAGAAGAAAATTGATTTGTATCAAATAGATCAATTTATAAAATCATTAGTTCCACTAAAAACAAATAAACATTTTGACTACAAACAGAATGGACTTTTCTACCCTGATGTAATCTTTGCATGTTTTACCAATTTTGAACTGTTCACCATTTACAGTGTACCTATTTGTGTTTTAAATAGAGCTTCTATTGGAAGCACAGTTTTGAATTGAAAACCATGACTACATGACATAAAAAGTCAGGTTTGAACTTTTTGAACTTGTTGCTCTAATCATTTCCACTGTGACATGACCTCTGATCCTTTAGGAACCAGCCTCACCTGTAACTGCGGCCAAAATAGACACACTTGGAGTCATGCTGACATGGGTTGAAAGTACCAATACAAGGGTCAACCACCTCATCACACAGGTCACCTGGAGACAAAGGACACTAATATTTATGTCTCTATTTAGCAAATAAATAAATTACATGCAGGGCACAATTGACCGGTAAATATTTTCTACTGTGCACACTTGGCATCATGGAAGATTGAATGCTTTTCCTGATGCATGCTCAATAATCCAGGTAGAAACATCTAAAAAAGTTAAATCTGGTCCTCTGGACATTCAAAAAACAAAACAAAGCAAAACAAAAAAAATGTAGAAACGTTTCTACATTTTTACATTTTACAGATTTTCATATTGATTTATTCTGTCTATCAGAAACCTTGCTAAAACAGGAGGATTTTGTTAGTACAAATGAATCCATCCATCCATCCATTATCTTTTACCCGCTTATTCCATTTTGGGTCACGGGGGTCGCCGGTGCCCATGCCCAGCAATTACTGTGCGAGGGACGGGGTACACCCTGGACAGGTCGCAAGTCCATCACAGGGCAACATAGAGACAAACAAGCATTCACTCTCTCACTCACACCTAGGGACAATTTAGAGTTACCAATCAGCCTAACATGCATGTGTTTGGTCTGTGGGAGGAAACCGGAATACCCCAAGAAAATCCACGCACGGAGAGAACATGAAAACTCCACCCAGAGAGGCCTCCAGACCAGAATTTGAACCGGAGACCTGCTCGCTGAGAGGCAGCAGCTCTACCAGTTGCACCAGCATGCTGCCCCTATACATGAATCCACTCCTGTTGATTATTTACATTTTCATGTTCCAAGAACAACTGGCCGAGGTGAAGTTGAACGGTGAAGTGAAGTGAACGCTCTTATAAGAACTCTGCAGATGTTGGATGCTGTCTATCATGGTGCACTAAGATTCATAACTGGCAGTGATTATCGTACCCACCACTGCACCCAGTATTCACTGGTTAACTGGACATCATTAACTTCATGCAGACTCTCTCACTGGTATATTTTCATCTTTAAATCACTTCTTGGTCTGTTGCCTTCATACATCTCCTCCTACATGTCTCTGTGTGAGTGCAGCTATGGAGTGCGCTCTCAGGACATTATTACCTGCAGTGTTCCCTCAATGAGGACTGAACTAGGCAAAAGGGCCTTCTCCTATTCCGCTCCTTTTTCCTGGAATATCTTACAAAAAAATTTGAAGCTCTCGACCTTTGACCTCTCTAAGTGGCTTTAAGAATCTGTTGGACACCTGGCAGGGTCCAATGCTGACATGTTCCTGTTTTTAGTTTTCTACATTTGTCTTAGAATCTAGCTGTTTTTTTTTTTTTGTTTGTTACCTTTTCCTTTTAGCCATCCTATTTGTTAAAAAAAAAAAAAACTGTAGTACGCTTTTTTATAACTGTTTATTGTTGTTGCTGTTGTCCATTGTTGTCATCTTTCTTTGTTGAAATCAGGTCTCTCTTGTAAATGAGTCCTCGAGGCTCAATGGGATTTACCTGTATAAATAAAGGTTGATTGATTGAAGTAGCATCTATTTTTCAGTCAGAAATATTGATTAATGCCAAAGCAGTTATTAGTTATGATTCTTTTGAATCACTCTCCCTCAGTCTTTCTCATCCAAAATGGAAATCAGAAAAAAAAACACTTTTATTAGTTGTTATACATTATCCACCAGGTGCTTACTCTCAGTTTTTGTCCATATTCTCAGATTTCTTAACTGACTTACTAATAAATACTGATAAAGTCGTAATAATGGGTGATTTCAATTTTCATGTAGATGTTGAAAGTGATAGCTTAAGCATAGCCTTTAATAGTCAATTGGTTTGTGAATAAAATATAAAAAATAAAAGCAAACATATGTACACCAACCAATACAATACAATTGTAAGGGAACACCACCTCAGAAACAGTTCACTTCATCCCAAACAAACATCATTCCTGTGTTTTGTATTTTAAACTGTTAAAATAAGATTCATCTATTCCCTTGGGAATGAACAGACATTTTATTCAGCTCAGCTTACAAACTCCTTAGTTGACCTAATAAAAAAAAAATATGTTAACCTCACTGCCAATATGAACTCATTTCCCATAAATCGGACAGATCGTTTTAATGAGAGCTTTTGTTCAACTGACCTTGATGTTTTTGAAGCATCCGAACTCGCTACTTTGATATCTTCCTTTATCGAAAAGGAGCATTTCTCCTAGACTCGTTCCCATGAAGATACCACCATAAGAACCCTTTTTTTAATGACATTCCTTTTCAGGAGATGGACAGCGACACCTTTGGTAAAACATTGTATGTTTTAAGTGTAATCCTAAATATGTCATACCTGAATGTTTATTCATGAAAATGTGTGTTTTAAGTAATATTTTTTTAAGATAATACATTTGTCTTATTTTCTCTTTCAAAAGGAACTTTTAAGGCAGATAAAAGGGACTCTGGATTTATTTAATAGGCCTTTATGAAAAAACAAGGCCAAGAGTTAGGACTACCTCTTTATGGAAGAGATGGACTAATCCTCTATCTGTTTTAGCCCAAACAGTAAGTTGCACTTCTAAGAAAACTTAAGAAAACACACTTTGACGAGACTCCGAAGCCTACACTTCACTGCACAGAGAACTGTAGAGAGAAGAAACCCAGCTTCTGTACTTGACCTCAGAAAGGAGAGAAGCATCCTTTCTGCAGACGACTTTGAGCAGAGATGGGACAAAAGATACAGAAGAAACCCAGCTTAACCAGAACAAGGCATTAACCCGAGAGCTGTCTACCAGGCAACCATCACTCCGCAGAGTGGTAAATCCCAGTTGACTACCATATGGACCTTTGCCCCTCTAACAATGACAGGTGAACTTTGAGGAGACTTCAGCCTCTCAGTCACCGGAGCATCTATTCAATTCAGTTTATTCAATTCAGTTTATTTAAATAGTGCCAAATCACAACAAAGTTGTCTCAGGGCAATTTACAGAAATATCTGAGGTTGGTACCATTCAAGCTGCTGTCGGAACCATGCTCTGACCATTTACATCCTGGTAGGACAGAGACCTTTCAATGCCTTACTGGTGAACCTACATCACAACTTATCAGACAAACTTAGCTCACCTTAGACACAATTTTAACTACTTCACAAACAGAAACCAGTCCAAAATCTGCCTTTTAAGTTTTACTGATCTGAATAATCAATTATACCTTTGATACAAAGCCATTTGTTATTCAATTAACATTTGTGATGCATAATATTCATCATATATATCATAGATCATAATTTTTATGATAAAATATATAAAAATCAACTGAATTTGTGATTATTTTGGCCCTTTAAACACGAGAAAAGAACTCACTACATTAATTTGGGGTTAATTAGAGACTGATTTTTCCTCTCCAAGAGAGAGGTGGTGCCCACACAACGAGGTTATTTGGATAATGCATGCATATCTTATCAGCTTAACTCATAACTGATAATTAACAATATATATCCAGCCCCATATAGCTACACAATACAATACTCAGAAAAAACGTGAAAATGGAGTAGTGCAGTTAAAATACAATGATAAAGTGAACAAAGCAGAGTTACACGGTAACGGGATTATGAGTGTTCAAGAGTCCGACGGCAGAGGGGAAGAAACTGTTATTATGGCGGGAGGTAATGGTCCGAATGGACTGAAGCCTCCTGCCCAATGGGAGTGGTTAAAAGAGTTCATATGCAAGGTGAGAATGGTCAGCTGTAATCCGACCTGCTTGCCCCACAGGCCTAGAGACGTACAGGTCATGAATAGATGGGAGGCTACAGCCGATTATCTTCTCAGCAGAGCACACAATGCGCTGCAGTCTGTGTCTGCCCCTGGCAGTGACCCCGACATACCACACTGTGATGGAAGAGAAGAGGATGGACTCAATAATGGTCATAAATGGTAAATGGACAATATTTATATAGCACCTTTCTATCTTATTTCAAGATACTCAAAGCACTTTACACTACAATTTGTGTCCTCATTTACCCATTCATACAGCACTCTACTAGATCTCTACAAAGCTAATTGAACAAATCATTCTAATGAGACTAATCAGTGCTTTTTTAGATCACATTCATACACTGATGGGACACACATCAGAGGCTATGAGGGGTTCAGTGCCTTGCCCAGGGACACTACAGCATGTGACTGCTGGTGGATTCAAATCCCCAACTCTCACATTGGAGGACGACTGCTCTAACCACTGAGCCACAGCCGCCCGGTCATGTAGAACTGCACCATCAGCTTGGCTGGCAGCTTGGCTTTCCTTAGTTGTCGCAGGAAGTACATCCTCTGCTGGGCCTTCCTGATGAGGGAGCTGATGTTTAGCTCCCACTTGAAGTCCTGGGTGATGGTGGTGCAGAGAAACCGATAACAGTCCACAGTGATGATGAGGGTATTGTTAAGGGCGAGGGGGGTCAGAGGGACTGTGGCTTTCCTGAAATCCACAATATCCACTGACTTCTGGGCATTAAGCTCTAGGTTGTTGTCACTGCACCAGGTCACCAGCTGGTCTACCTCCCTCGTGTAGGCAGACTTATCACCATCTGAGATGAGGCCGATGAGGGTGTCGTCGTCCACAAACTTAATAAGTTTTACAGAGTCATGGCTGGAGGTGCAACAGTTGATGTACAGGGATAAGAGCAGAGGGGAAAGTACACAGCCCTGTGAAGATCCTGTATTTCAAGTCTGAGTGTCCGAGACAACTCTCCAAAGCCAAACACATTGACTCCAATCTGTTAGGAAGTCTGTGATCCACATGCAGATGGAGTCAGATACAAGGAGCAGAGAAAGCTTGTCTTGGAGCAAAGTGGGAAGGACGGTGTTAAATGCTGAGCTCAAGTCTACAAACAAGATCCTAGCGTAGGTTCCTGGGAGTCCAGATGCTGCAGAGTGAAGTGGAGGGTCAGGTTTATGATGTCATCTACAGACCTGTTGGCTCTGTAGGCAAACTGCAGAGGGTCCAGAAGGGGGTTGTTGATGGACTTGAGGTGGGATAAAGCCAGACGTTCAAAAATTCTATTTGATAAATTCCAGTTTGTAAATGTAAATA